CTCAAAACTTTAATAAATATACTGAATATAGCATTGCATACCGAAGACCAAATATATGGAATAGTTATCAAAAAAGATTTAAACGTATGGCAAAGTCATTAAGTTCAATTAAGTTTCTAATAAAAAAAGAAATTTTTAAAATTTGAGAACCTTTTGCGCTTAAAGGAATCGTTAAAGAATTTTATTTATTCTCTAATTTTTTTATTTTTTTTCTTTATTTAATTTATTGATCAGCGCAACAGTTTTATGCCCATTAGGGTTTTTAATTTAATATCTATATTCTGTGGAAAATATATATAGGTGCTCTATGAAAAGATTGCGATGACGTATTGTCATCTTTATCTTCTTTGAGCCCCTCTGTCTGTTTAACTCTTTATTTTATAAAGATCATTGTAAAAAAGAAAAGTTTTTATTTTATACTGTAACTGTATACAAAAACGGTGCTTGTTGCCAAGATTTTACGGTCTTCTTTATTCGACGGACATATTTTTTCTTTCTTGTATATACATTTGTTTGATTATTTATTGTTAAACAGCAAAATAAATGTAAAAAAAAAAAAAAAAGAAATATTTAAAGCAAAAAGAGCACATAAAAAAGAAATAATATTAAAATCTGAATAATTTCCATCGTTAAAAAATTGATACTAATCTAAATGAACTTATAATGACAACTTCGGTTTTTTTATTTCAGACTTTATTAACATACCAATCTAAACCCCTATAAATATTTTTTTCTATTTCAGACATTATTAACATACCAATCTAAGCCCCTATAAATATTTTTTTCATTTACAAAAATCTTTCATTAATTTTTTAATTCTGGAATTTTCACGATTTTCAAAATTCACGCTCTAGAAATTAGCAAACTTTAGTCTATGAAAAAACCGGAAGATAATAATCTTGCTGAAAACTATCGTCCTATTTCATTAAACTCTTTAGTCTGCAAAATAGCCAAAATACTTGTTAAGAACAAATTCTTTAAGCACATTAACGATAATAAAATGCTCTCTGCAAATCAACATGGCTTTTTTCACCATAAATTATGCGTGGCTAATCTAATAGAAACTATTGATATTATTTCATTTTCTATACTATTTCACCAATTTATTGATGTAATCTCAATTTCGCCAAAGCATTTGATTCTCTATCTCAAAGCATTGATTCTCTACCTTAAACAGATTTATTGTAAAATTAAGATATTTCGGAGTAAATGGTAAACAAAATAAAAGGGTATAATAAATCAATCCCTAAAATTTATCATTACACGCCAGTTTGGTTTTCGTTTAAAACACTCTACATGCTCTTATTAGCATTACTGGAATGATTCGTGGTGCAATCGATAGTGGTTCATTTGCTTGTGGCGTTATTGATTTCCAAAAAGCTTTTGACACGGTCGACCACAAGATTTTAAATAAAAAGTTATACTACTATGGCATACGGGGTATCGCTAATAATTGGTTTTCATCATATATTGAAAATCGTAGCCAGTTTGTCTATTAATGGGTTTGAATCCTCCAAAAAATTTATTAAATATGGTATCCCCTAAGGTTCTGCCTTTGCTGTTTTTAATATATATAAACGACTTGTCCCACTCTATAAGCAATTCCACTGTTCACTATTTTGCTGATGATACCAATCTTTTATGCATAAATAAATCACTTACTCAACTTTGTAGAAAAGTTAATTCAGATCTCCATCATTTGTGTCTTTGGTTAAATAGTAATCGTATCTCTCAATATCAACAAAACTGAATCACCCTCCAAAAATTTTTCACCCTCCAAAAAAAATAATTAGTAATGAAAATGTTAAAATTAACGGTAAAAGAATCTTTCGTTTTGAATTTATGAAATATCTCGGAGTATTTCTTGACAAAAATCTATCTTGCAATTATCAAATGATTCAATTAAATAAAAAACTCTCTCGAGCAAGTAGTATGTTATCTTTAATACAACACTATGTTCCTAAACATACTCTAGTACCAATTTACTATTCCATGTTCTCATCCCATCTAAGCTATTATTGCATTGTTTGGGGGCAACAAGGAATTTTTCTATTAAATCGTATAAACAGTTTGCAACGTGCTTCCATAAGAATTATGACATTTTCTCCTATTCAATCTAATATCCAAAAAAGGTTTTCTGAATTAAAAATCTTACAATTTCAAGATCTTATAAAGCTTTACAACTGTCTTTTTGTGTTTGATATCCTCCATAATAATCTGCCGGGTTCGTTTATCAATTTTTTCATTAAAGCAAGTAATACACATAAATACTATACTCGTATTACTATAAATGGTAATTTGCACCCTTCTTTTTTCAATACTGTCAAGTATGGCTAGCTCTCCATAAAACATCAATGTATTTCTCACTGGAACCAATTAATACCTTTTATAAAAAATAAGATTTTAACTAAATAGCCCTTTGTTACTAACTTTCTTTTTCTCAATAGAAACCTAATTAAGAAATTTTTATGTGAGCAAATATCTAAAGAATATTAATGCTATCTTTTATTATTATCCCTTCAATATATTATTTAATTATCTACACTTATTTTTTTTTTTTTTATTGTTATTATTAGTCTTTACATTGTTTCTACTACTATTTTTATTATTGTTATTACTATTATTATTTATATATCTTTGTTTTTGTTGCCTTAATATTATTACCTATAATGATAGTCAAAGTAGTTCAGTAGTTGCAGTAGCTTTATCATTATTGATATAACTATTCTTTAAATTGTTTATTTTATAATTATTAACTATACTATAAATATCTTACTATTGCTTTATCATTTATAATTCTTTTTACGTTGTTATATTGCAGTTATTATTTTTTATATTATTTTTATTCATATTATTATTACTATTATTATTTTTATAAATATTATTACTTTTAACTTTCTTTTCCTCTTTCTTTTTTTTTTAAATCTTCTTTATTGTTATTGTTGCCAGTGGCGTACCAACGGGGGGCGGGGCTCACCGCCCTGGGTGTCATCCACTTTTGGGTGATACCCAATTTATTAATATCTTATATTTTATTTTGGTTTATAATTAAACAGTCTTACATAAAAAATAAGTGGGTATTTATTTACACGAACTACGAAATGCTGAATGCTGAAAGATATAGTTATCATTATTTAGAAAATATAATCGCTTAGCTTTCTTTCTTTCAGTAGGTTTGCTATTTTATTATTATACTTTACTATCAAATCAAATCCAGGTACTACTGTTTTTTTAAGCATATAAAAGAATAAAACTGATTTTAGACGGTTTTAGATGATAATAATTTGTTATCGTCTAAAACAGAGATAATAATTATTTGACAACAATTTATTTTCAAATAATTATTTTTTCTGTTATAGACGAGAATTATTTATAGAGTTATAGACACTTTATTATTATTGTCGAAAACAAGGTTTAAAATTACATGTGTCAACGCTTCTAAATACTGCTTTAATAATTTCGTATATAAAAATAATTACATATAATATATGGGTGACACCCTATTTGCCGCCCCGGGTGACACCATAACTAGGAACGCCACTGATTGCTGCTTATCTTTCTTTCCTTTTTTGTTTTTTCTTTTTTTTTTTAGGTGTCACTCCATTGACTAGTTTTCAACTTTATGAGTGACACCTAATCTTATTTATGTAAATTTATAATTTATCATTGTAAATTTTCATTATTTATGGTTAAGTAAATAATGAAAAAAAAAAAAAAAAAAAAAAAAGCTCTACGAAAAAGCCTTATTTAGAATTCATTATTTCATGTAACGCCCAGTGGAGCGCACATTTTCTCAGTCCTTACAAATTCTGAGTATGCAAAAAGACATTCACTTTCATTGATGAAAATATGGGTTTCAAATTATATAAAATGTCTATAAACACTTTATATAATTTGCGGTCTAATTTGGTTTATAGTTGGCAGTCGGCAAATGTCGGAAAACGAGGACTTTTTTTTTTTTTTTTTTAGATAAGTTAGTGGCATTTAGTCGGCAAAAAACAGACACGGCACCCTCCTTTAAAATCTCTTTGCTCTGCTAAGATGACTAAACTACTATCATTGAGTTTTGAAGATAAGCTTAGGGTTAAGAGTTAAGAGTTTAGGGTTAAGAGTTTTGAAGATAAACTTAGGGTTAAGAGAAATTTTCCGCACTTTTTTCCGCACTTTACAGATTGAAAATTTCCGCATTATTGTATTTTACCGAGTCCATAAATAACAAATTATGATAAAAGTTGCTTATTTAAAAATATAATAGCAGCACTTATGTTATATTTGATATAAGCCATTAATGCAGCAACTGCAAAAAGATCCTTAAGCACATTAAAACATATTTAAGGACAACAACGGTGCGAATCATCTTATCTGCTCTAGATCGAATACCTACTGAAGCGTAAATATATATATATACATATACATATATATATATATATATATATATATATATATATATATATATATATATATATATATATATATATATATATATATATATATATATATATATATATATTTTTTTTGTTATTATACAAATATATATATATATATTTGTATATATGTGTGATTTTTTTTTTTAAGCGCAAGCGTTCGAAATTGGTTGTTAACAACTCATTCAATTTAATAATTATCTCGATTTTGCGCCAAAATTTTAACACACAAAATTTAATCACAAACGGACGTCTCTGTGACAATCATATTAGTTTTTATAATAAAGTTAATGCTTTTTTAAACCCATTTTTTTAATATGAAAGTTAAAAGTGCAATAATGAACCTGAACATTTGCATAAAATTAAACCATAAATTCTTAATTTTTTTAATTATATTCTTTTATTTTTAAACATTAAAAAAATTTTAAAACAATTTTGGCGTATTAGTTTTTGGCGGCAAAAATAGCCAAAGCTCGAAATTGTTTTAAATATTCGAATTCGAAATATTTTTATGTTTTGAAACCTTTTTTTTAAATAAATACTAATGCGCTTCCAGATGAAATTAATTAGAAAAGTAGTGTAACAGAATATCAGTATATCAATAGTATATCAATAGTATAACAGAATGGCCGGAAGTCCAAAGAAAGGTAGTCCTAGAAAAGCAAGTCCCAAAAGAGGCGGAAGTCCTAAAAAGACCAGTCCTAGAAAAGCAAGCCCTCATCGATCATCGAGACCTGCTAGCCCGAATAAGAAAGCTCATAAAGGTAAAAAAGCAATTAAAGCTATACATAAGAAAAACAAGAAGAGTCATCACCGACGAAAAGGAAAGCAAAGTTATGGCATCTATATTTACAGAGTGCTTAAGCAAGTTCATCCTGATGTTGGAATTTCAAGCAAAGCTATGAGCATAATGAATTCATTCGTCAACGATATTTTTGAGCGAATTGCGGGAGAATCGTCAAAACTTGCAGTGCACAATAAGAAAATGACCATTTCTTCACGCGAAGTTCAAACATCAGTGCGTCTCATTCTTCCAGGAGAGCTTGCAAAACATGCTGTTAGTGAAGGAACAAAAGCTGTTACAAAGTATTCAAGTTCAAAATAACTTAATTTTGGTAACGGCTTCTTTGTTTGAGGCTTGGATTTTTACTAACAAATAATTAAAGGAGAACTTATTGTAATTAACAGTCGGAAAAAATGTAAAAATGACTAACGTTAGTAATTTATTTTTTAGGTTATATAATTTATTTAAATTATTAAATGTAATTAGAAAAAACTTTTAATGAATTAGATTATGTTTTCTTTAAATTGTCTCAGTTTTTTTGCTAATAGTTAGTACGTTAATAATTACTTGCATTTCTAATATTTAAAAGAAATTTAATTTCTAATAAAAAAAAGTTTAAAAGCAAAACAGGTTACATACATTAATTTTACGGTATTTATGAAATATAAAATTTAATTTAGAAGAAATTAGATTTTATATTTCATAAAACATCTTCAAAAGCCACAAAATCGTAGGACTTTAAAAAAGCCGCACTCAAAGTATGTAAATAACTGTCTTTCGTAACTAGTAAACTAAATATTTTGTAGAATGGTGAAACCGCGTTGTACGTGTTTTTACGTGAGAGCCAAAATAAATAACTAAAATAAGAGAAAATAATAATAATAAGAGAATATAAAATAAAAATAATAAGAGAAAATATTCTATTCTAATTAGGCTTACTTAATAACTATTGCGATTTTTCTAGGGTAAACACGCTGCACTATGTTTACTCCAGTTTCATCCATATTGTAAATTTGGAATAGTGTGAAATTGTATCGTATAATAAGACCGTGAAGTTTGTTTTGAAAATCTGTTACTCTTTTGAAATTAGCCATTTGTCACAGGGATCTCTGAAAATCATAACAACATAATTTGAAGTATATCACTTACACCTAAAGATGTTAAACATACTAAAAATTTCCCTAATAGTTTTCGCATTAAAGTGAAACTTGAAAATGTGGTCAAGTCTAGTTTAATCAATTAGCCAATGAAAATTGACTTTTAAGCAACAAAATGAATTTCTTTTTTGTTTACTAAGTTTTAACACTGTTATATTTAAAAATAGATATTGTTACTTACATTTTTTACAATAACAAAAAAAATCTGAACTAGGTGCTAAAAATGCATATAATCAAAATTAAAACTTATAATTTTTTGCTTTTTCTTCATAAGTTTTATTGAGTTTTTTGTAAATGAAATGTATTAATTTCATTTACAAAAAACACATAAAACAAATAAATAAATAACAAATTATATTAATACAACTGGTTGTTTAAATAAAACTACAGCAGTTTTTAACTTTTCTCCACAGCTTTTGTATTCTAAGGTTATTTTTCTAGTTCACCAAAGTTTTTTAAATTTCAATGATCATCTTCACCACATTGTTCTGTGTAGTTTCCTAAGATAATATTATTGTGTTTTATAAAGGTCCTTACGGTCTTATCATTTGAAAGGAAGTTCACGCCTTCTTCCTTACCAATGTAACTTGCACAAAGTTAGCGTTGAACCACGAGGCAAGCGCGCTAACCAATGTGCTACGGCTAACATTATTAAGGAAGTAAATGGTACGAAACAACTGACAGAAATAGCCCTATAAATCTAAACATCGATATACAAATAAATATTAAATTGCCGACACACTTAATTAATGTTTTGTCAATGTAGGTTCTACTTTAGTCTTAAAAATAGAAACCACTGAAGTAAACTTTAAGACTTATCTAACTCCTGATAAGATCTCTAAGATAGATTACTAAGAAATTACTAAAATAGAACTCTTAGATGCAGCTTATCTTTTTACAGTGTAGTCAACAACCTGGAAGAGTCAGGGAAATTCTAAATTATTTAAAAAAAGTCAAAATATAATAAACTTTGCAAAAATCATAAAAATTTTGAAAAAAACCAGACAATTTTGATGGATTCATTTACAAAATATATATACTTTTTTGCTTATTGGAGACTAAAAATCATTTATTTTTTTTTTACTTTTATTTTTTTGTTAAAAAATGTTTATTAATTTAAAATATATTTAGTTTTTAAGAGAACTTCTATTATTTAGGTAAAGTTGCGTGAGTCTTGTTTGTTGCCTTTTCATTACTACATTTGTAAAATTTACGTCGGTAAGTCGAGGAAATTTCTTTCTAGTCAGGAAAAAGTCAGGAAAAAGCCAGAAAAAACGAAATCAAAAATTGCCTAGCCGACCTGTTTAAAAAAAAAAAAAAAGTGTGGCAAATGTGATAATATTAGTTGCAATAAAATTAAAAAATCGCTAAAATACTTAACAATTCTTCAAAACAAGGTGTTTATCCTGAGAAACTTAAAATTGCGCGGTCTTACTTATTTTTTACTTTTATTCACAAATAGATATAAAAATTTTTTTTTTAATTTTTAATGAAGAATTATCTAAAGTAAATGAATGGTTTATAAGTAACCGCCTTTCGCTAAATGTACATAAAACTAAATTCATCCTGTTCCACAAACCAAATAAAGTTGATAATATTCCACTTAAATTGCCAAATCTTTTATTCAGTAAAACAGATGTAAAAAGGGAATCTACTGCTAACATTTTTAGGCGCAATTCTTGATGAAAACTTGTCATAGGGTTTCACATCCATTGAAAGTAAAATCTCTTATAATATTTCCGTACTTTTTTAAAAAAAAACATTTTTAAGCACAAAAGTTTGAATGAAAATTTATTTTTCATTTATTTACAGCTATCTTTCTTACTGCAACATTGCGTCGGGAAGTACGAATTACGGAAAACTCAAAAAACTTTATAGTAAACAAAAGCGTGCTTGTAGGATTAAATTTGTTTATTGCATTTAACAAAAATAAGTTTACCTTTGGAGCTTTTATAGATCTTATCAAAGCTTTTATAGATCTTATCAAAGCTTTTGACATAGTATGTTATGGACATTCTTATAAAAAAACTCGAAAGTTATGGTGTTAAAAGCTCATATTTAGATTGTGCATATTTATTTAGACTGGCTCAAAAGTAATCTAAGAAAATTTGACTACATGGCTGCAATTTGCGGTGTTCCCCAAGATACAGTTCTGGGTCCATTTTTATTTCTTATTTATGTAAATGATTTCCATAAAATTTCAAACATTTTAAAATTCTATTTTTAAATAAAACTTATTTTATTTTCTAAAACTATTTTCTATTTTCAAATAAAACTTATTTTATTTTCTAAAACTATTCTCTATTTTCAAATAAAACTTATTTTATTCTAATGTCAAACTTTTATTTAAAATAGTAAATAAGAAGCTTTTAAACCTAGCGGAATGGTTTAAGGCGAACAAATTGTCCTTAGATTTAAATAAAGCTAAGTTTATTTTTTTTATAGACTTCACGGTATAAAAAACATTCCTTTAAAATTTCCTGATCTTTATATTGGCCGCTCTAAAAAAATCATCATTGAGTCATCATTGAAGTTTTCAGCAGTAATACCAGACGAAAACGTGACACAGAGAAAACACATAAAACCGATAGAAGATAAAATATAAAAAAATATTGGCATACTATACAAAGCCAAGGGAAGGGAAGCCAACCATTAATTAAACCAAAACTGCTTAAAACTGTTATATTTCTCACATTTTTATATAAACTATGCAAATACTGCTTGGTGCAGTTCTAATGTTAGTAAAATTAAAAACTGCTAAGTAGACAAAAACAAGCATTCAGAATTAATTTAAGTAAAGGTTAATTCACACATTTCAAAGAACTATTTAAAAATCATCACAAACACATGGTTTTTCAGTTAAATTTTTTTTTTTTTAGGCGCCCCTAAAAGTCCCTACGGTCTTATCATTTAAAAAGAAGTTCACGCCTCCTTTCATACCAATGTAACTTGCCTAAAAATGGCGTTGAACCACGGATCTCTAGCTTCTGAGGCAAGCGCGCTAACTACTGTGATACAGCTGCTCAAAATTTTTATCAAATTTTTATTTTTATGTACAAACTTCATAAAAAATTTTTTTTCTGATTTTAAAATTACAATTATGAGCAAATATTTAGCTACCAAATTAACTTTTGCCATTAGAGGTCTTAAATTATGGAACATTTTATTGAATAACGAGCTGAAAAAGTGTTTTTTTTACTTTTTCTTTCTTTATTCGTGAAAAAACTTATTAACGATGTTAATAAATTAAATTCGTAAAAAAATTCTTTTTTTTTTTTTTCAATTTTTTCATTTTTTTTCTAACGAATAACGTATTAAATTTTCTTTAAATTATCCTATTAAGGTGGTAGATTGCTAAAAAAATTATTAGTGTATTTTACAATATTTCAATTGATTTCTTTACTTCAAACATGATAAATACATTTGAAAAATTATTATTATTATTTTTTCTTTTTATATATATTCTGGGCAAAAAACAGGTCATTTTAGGCCAAAAACAGGCTAAAATCTTGGTAAAGATATCTCAAAGAGTATACTTTATTAAGATCTAAATTATTGCATTTTTATTCTTTTTATAAATGACATGAGATGAAAATTTTTATTGAAAATTTCTTTATTTTAAAGCATCGTTATCATCCCTTTTTAAATGTGCCCAATAAATAATCGAATTTCTGATATTAAGAACCAAAATTTGTTTGTTAAAAATATATATTCTGAACTTTTTTTTTATCGCAATACATAAAGCTTATTATAATGAAGCTCTGTAAAAAATTAAAAAGTCCATGGAACAATTACAGCTCCTGCAATCTTTGCCCGAAAATTAGAAGAAACAGAGAAAAATGCATATAAAATTTAAAATATTGAATATAGAAACTTATAAAAACAGTTTAAAATCCCCGTTTTTTATATACTGTCTTTCTTAATCATTGTATTTATTATCGAATCTTTTCCTAGTTGCTTTAAGATTTTTCTTTGTTTTTTAACTTTTTATTTATTTCTAACCTTAACTAGCTATTGCTATGAGTGTTGCTAGGGGAAACAAAATTACCCTGCTAAAATAAGTCACTTTTATCAGTTCTAAATTTTTTTTATTTTCTCAACAACAGTTACTGTTTAAAACTTTTGAAAAACCAGTTTTTTCTAATTTTTTTAGCAGCCTACCACCTTAACTTATTGCTAGTTTTTAGGTTTGATTTTTTTTTAATTCTATTTTTACAACTTTTTTAAATTATAGATTAGTAACTAATCTTAACATGCTTGTAAACACTTATATACAGGGCCCCCGAGAGCTTTTATGGTATGGGTGTCATGAAAGCTCTCGTTTCAACTTTAATTTTTCAACTTGTATGTCCAATAGACGCTCCTGT